ACGTGGGTTTTGGGTTGCAGTTTGGGTACTTGGTCTCTAAAAGGTTCGCCACCACTGATCTATAAAAAGGACCTATGTATAAGTCCCCAGAGATTCAAGATGTTGCAAAATATAGTGCAGTATCATACTGACAGCATCATCTGTAACCTATTTGCATGGTAGGGAAACTGTAAAGGGTTTAGCAGCAGATCCGTGATGATTTAAGGTGGGTTATCACTAACTTTTCAAAGCTTTTCATAACTACAGTCGTCAGAGTAGCCAGTCCGTAGCCATTCGTCTCTTTAATGGAAAGTTTCTTGGGCACCTGGATGATAGCAGAGTATTTGAAAGGAACATAACACATTTCCAGTGATTTATTAAAGATGTCGGTAAAGATAGAGACCAGTTGATCAGCATAAGGTTTCAAGCAAAAGGGAGTTACTCTATCTGGGCCTGGTGCTTTTCTGATTGTTTGTCTATGAAATAGACCTCACACATCTTTTTCTAGGATCATCAGAAGTGGTGGGACTAGAGGGATGGAGCTAGGTGTAGGAGATTTGGCTATTGTTGGTGTAAGAATGTAGCGAAAGTTGACAGTGATCTCCTTTCAAATCTACAGTAGAACACATTAAGGTCATCTGCCTATATAAATAGAATATTTAAATATTAGAATATTTTATTTTTATTCAAATCTATACATGGCTCTAAGCACTAAACTATTAGGAACATTTTTTTAGTTCTTAAAGAAATATTATGAACAAGTTAAGTGTAAATTAATTAGATCTGCCAATAAGCCACTTCAAACACTTTTAATCACTTTTAAATAAGCCATGTCAATCAGTAAACCATATAGACCAGTGATGGCGAACCTTTTAGGGACTGAGTGCCAAAACTGCAACCCAAAACCCACTTATTTATCGCAAAGTGCCAACACGGCAATTTAACCTGAATATTGAGGTTTTAGTTTAGAAAAAACAACTCATACATTAACATCTTTTGTCTTAAAAGAAAAGCACAATATCAAAGCTTTCAATGATACAAACAACTTTTTATTGAAAGGTAAAAGTTTGCATTTGGTATGCTTTTGAACAATTAATGTGATTTTTGCTATTGTATGCATGCTGATAATTCGTCAAACCTTGGCTCATACTTTGTAAGTTTGAGAGCAACACATGAAGCACTCAGGTCATCTGTTAGTCTGTTTCTGGTGTCAGATTTGATATAATTCAAGGATGAAAACAGCTGCTCACAAGCATAAAATGATCCAAACAATGTAAGGAAAGCAATCGGAAGTGCTTTCATTGACTTAAAATTATTTGGCAGAGAATTCCACACTTTTAAGGATTTCATTTTCAGAACTAACTGTGCTGTCCTTTGTCATCTTTGTTTGCTCTCAATAAGAGCGAGGCAGGAAGAGGCTTGGGAAATGGCTTTTTCCTGGTGAAAACAAGCCTCTGAGTCCTGATGCTGGCGGAGTGAGGCAGCGGAGGCCTCCCTGTCTCCCCTCATTTCCCCAAAACCTCCCTTCACTGACCTTCTTCCAGCTCTGTTCTCTCTCACCATGTGCAGGGCAACAAAAGAAGCTTGTAGGACTACCGGTTAAAAAAAAAAGTTCAACCAGACCTTCCAACTTTGCGAGATCTTTTTTTTTTTTGTGAGAAGTTGGAAGATCAGTGCCCTGCACATGGAGAACGGACCTGAAAAAGAGGTTAGTGAAGGAATGTGGTTGCCCTGGGGTGGGGGTAGGATTTGGCATTGTGGATTGTGGAGTGTTTGTGCTCTGGTGGGGCTATTCAAAACGCAGGGGTTTCCTGCATTTTGAAGCACCCTGTGTGACTGCACAGAAAGAAGCACTCCATTTCTCAAGTGCCCCTTTTCAGACATACAGAGCTTGCAGTCTCTGCCAGACCTCCGTTGGGATAAAGTCTTTTAGCTCCTATAGAGCTAAAACACAGCCAGTTCCTGCGTTTGGAAGTGTTCCATAGGTGTGGAAACATTTTTTTTTATCTCAATGGAGATCTGGCAGAAGGCTCCATTTCTCAAGCGCCCCATTCCAGGTATATTGAGCTTGCAGTCTCTGCCAGATGTCCACCAGATGTTATCCTAACAGAGATCTGGCAGAGACTGCAAGCTCTTTGGCTAAGTTTTCACAGGAAAAAGCCATTTCTCAAGCCCCTTCCTAGCTAAAACAAACCTCCGGAGAGAGCGTGCTCGCTCCGGAAGCTTGTTTTCCGCAGGATTGTTCTTAAGAAGAGCGAGGCATGCTTACTCTGGAGGCTTGTTTTGGCTAGGAAGGGGCTTGAGAAATGGCTTTTTCCAGCGAAAATTTAGCCAAAGAGCAAGGCACACGTGCCCACAGAGTGGGCTCTGAGTGCCCCCTCTGACCCATGTGCCACAGGTTCACCACCACTGATATAGATCATATGTTGTCATTGAAAACATATAAAAAACTGGCATTTCAAAAACCTACAGTACATATACTTTCTGAGTGATGGTTAAATAGAACATCTTTTGTGAAGAATGCAGTATTATTTGGAGGAAAAAAAGACACAATTGCAATGGAAGAATGACAGAGTCATTTTTCCCCTTCTTATTAACTGATGTATTCCAATAATTTGGGCAGTCTTTGTTTTAAAATGGCATAAACATACAATACTTCAATCTTACATTATCAAAATGTAATGTCTCTGAGAAAACCCGATGGAGAAATATTCACAGGGCCGATAGTTTATTATACATGATCTGCAATTCAAACTTATCAAAAGTATCAATAGAACTGGAAATTGTTCATCAGAACCATTCTCGTCTTTCCCAACCTTCCTAACCTAACTGACAAAGAACTCACAAAAGAAATTAATACATGTTTGTGTGCCTTCAAAGTATTGTTGATTCCCGATAACTGTCTGGTCTAGTCCCTACAATTTTCTTGGCAAGGTTTTTTTGCAAATGGTTTGCCATTGCAGGGCCAAGAAAAACTGGCGCCAGATCACCCAGCTGATTTTGCACTTAAGGTAGGACTAGAATTCATGGTTTTTCTGGGTTCCCAGTTCAGTTACAAACTTTATCCGCAAAGGACTCACAAAATAAATTAACAGCTACATATCACATAAACAAAACATTTCACTTCACATATACACCATATATGATACTCAGTGCCACCTCTACCTCACTTTTTTTCCCCTGAGTGATGATGTACATTTCAGGAGAAAAATAGAACAAATGCCAGACTATAGTCATCTACCTACAATTTTATTTTCTAAGAATGATGAGTATGACAGTTTATTATAATAAATAAACTCAGAAGAATCAGAAGGGACACAGAGGCCAGAAGGGATGCAACATATACAGAATACAACCATAAATTTGCAATTTATAATCATTCCCATCTATCTTGTTATTTCCATGACCAGTTGTTATGACCATGAAAGTATGACTATGAAATATTAATGGGATTTTGTATAGGATTCCTGACTAAATCTGATAAAGATGGAAGGATTTTCCAACAAACACACACTGAATCGAATTGTTCACGCTTCTTTATTTAGCATGCACATACACTGTTAGATTTGTTATTGTTCTGCCAATATTGTTCTGTTACTAAATTCTGCATATAAGAGGAAAGGAAATGTAAATAAGACTATCTAAAAAGAGTATAAGGACGGGTCAAATTATCATATTTTTTAAAGTGACCAGGAGAAATGTGGATAGACCCAATTGCACCAGTGATGGGTATGCCATAAAAAGATCTGAAAAGCCAGGTTAAGGATAAATTATCTTGGAGAAGGTCCATCCAGTTAGCCCTAACTGGATGGCACATAATCAGTCAATCAATCAATCCATCAGGGAAGTCAAACAACTTGCAGTGGCAGATTCATAGTAACTGCCTAAGGCAATACTTTACATTGTTTAATCATCCTGATTTATGACAGATCTTGAAAGCAATGACTCAGTGGTTAAGATGCTGAGTCTTTGACTGTTAAAGGTCTATAGCTCAACCGTTTAAGACCTGAGTACCACAAGACAGAGTGAGCTACCATCACTTGTCCCCATTCCTACCAACCTAGCAGTTCAAAAGCATACAAATACAAGTAAATTAATAGGGAGCACATTTAAGCATACAGGAAGATAAGAGTGTTCCGTGCTTTGCCATATGCTCTGTGCTGCAGTGTGATGCTATGCCAGCCACGTAATATAAGAAACGGAGTTGAGGACTGCTCCTAAAAGTCGGTCACGATCAAGCAAGATAAAACTTCTGGGGATGCCTTTACCTTTAACTAAACAGTCTGTCATAAGCAGGGCTTTTTTTCTCATAGAACACCCAGAACAGAGTTCCGGCACCTTTTTTGGATGGAACCTTGTAGGGTAGGCAAGGCAGGTTGTATGACATGTGTGAATTCTGGCACCTTTTTTTTTTTATAGAAAAAAAGCATTGGTCGTAAGATGTTATATTCAAATTTTGGAAATCCAGCTAGAAAAAGAAGTTCTACCATGATAAAGGAATCATAAAGAGTTTGTTTGCAAACCCTGCTTATGATCTATAAGAACACTGAATCCCATAAATTATGTAATTTATCTACTTGATATGATATTACTATAAGATATAACATTATATATTATATGTTATATAATTATATAACATATAATATATGAGATAATATACAATATTATATGTCATGCAATATATTAATCTACTTGATATGAAAATCAAAACACTTTTTCAATTAACTTGTCATCTATCAAATCTCTTTCCATGTAGTTTTTGAAGATCAGGTAATTGCATATGTGTATCATAACCTAGAAACAACAGTGTATGGATGTTCTGAAGTGTTTCCCAAAATAGCTTTCTTATACTGATAGAAAATAAATAATTATTAACATGAATAACCACATTAAAGTTTGAGACCAATATGGTAGCAATATAATATACCATTGGTGAATCATTTATATTACTGGCATGAGAAAATGGACCACACAGAGCACAATGTACACATTCATAAAAGAGATTTATGTTAATTGCCTACCTTGTCTGGTATATTCATCAGATTCCCTGGGGACTAAATCTTTTACCCGATTTCCATACAGCAGTCTGGAAGAATCATGATCAAAAGCTTTCAAGGTTTCACTTGAACTGTAAGACTTCTGAGTAGGCACTCTGCATTCTTCATTTTCTGTGGAAGAATTTGTATAACGCCTTTCCTTGTCTCTTCTGCTCTTTGTCAGGGAGCAATAAGGTCTGCGTTCTTTCACATCCATGCTTCATTCCTTCTGTATGCACGTCAGATCATACCACCTGGAATTCTTCTATACATTTAATTATTCACCTGGAACAGAATTAAACAGAGTATATGTTGGAAACAGATTCTATATTATATGTGTTCTATCAACTCACGTGTATATTATAAGTTTATTCATTCTCTCCACAGCCAAATACTGTCATGAAAGAGAAATGGGACTCCCTTTCCAGCTTTTAACGCAATCAGAATCTAGAGGCTTGTGCAAATTTCAAATATATAAACGCTTACACAATACTAATTATACTTTATATATTTATTCTAGTTGAAATGCTTATTCAGTCTATGTGAATGCCACATCAAATGTGTAGTATTATTTGAATATTTCTTCTAAACTGGTAACAACTTCATTCTTTCTGCCCAGATGTTTTCTAGTTCAGGCTCAACAAAGATTTTAAAGTAACATTTGTTCTGTTATAGTTTAGGAGAACATTGTTCCTGAACAATCAAATGAACAAGCATTTTTGTTGTAATACATCTTCCTTTCTGAGTAGAGAGTTTTCTTCAAATTCTAGGAGAACTGTACTTCTCCCAAAAAACCCCCAGCTCATATGCTATTTCTCTCTATATATTTATATATGTGTACACACAGAGAGAGAGAGGCATTTATGTGCTATTTTGATAGTTCTTCTTACATTTAATTTTCAAATAGTTTTTGCTTTCAGTCAAGTACAGTAAATATTCTATAAACTTTATGTGTAGAAACAATATTGTAGAAACAATATTAGGAAAACTATAATGAATCAATCTACTTATATGTCTTCTGAGTTTAGCTGATCTTTCTTAAATGACCACTCTTTCTCTTACAGATTGTATTCATAAAATCCTTTATGCAATACTTTATTTACTATTAAACCAGGGGTGTGAAACTGCCGGCCCGCGGGCCGGTTTCATCATACTGGAGCCGCACCCACCCCATTGCCGGCAATGGCAAAAAAGCTCCGATACGTCGCGCGATGTCACATGACGTGGCGAGTTTGACATGCCTGTATTAAACAGTACTTTCCTATCTGCAACCGAAAATTCTTCATGATTTAATTATGAATAATTCCTGATTTCTTTCTGACAGAATCAACAATTTCAACATACTTCAATGTTTTTAAGTTATAAACTGCCTCTCTAGGATAAGAATGAATAGTTAAAAATTGCAGGCTATTCCACAGGAGTAATTGGAATAGCTTTAACAATCCAGATATTATAATCAAAAGGCGAATTACTTGCAACGCAGATTCAGATTTTCAAGTGAAGTAATGAAGACAATTCCTGGCAAGATTATGGATGTGAAAAAGTAAATACACCCCATGTAAAGGCTTTTTTTTTTAAGATGTGGACATAACAATATTTTATTTTTGATTAAACAATATATAAATTTAATGTCAATGAATAAAAATTGAAAAGTTGACAGCATCTTGATGGGATTTAGTTCTGTACTTTGCTTTGATCATTCCATAGCCCTCCATTTTTTTTCAGCCATTATGTTGTAAATTTACTGAAACATTTAGGATCATTGTCATGTTGCAAAATCTACCCTTAGTTAAGTTTCATCTTCTGAAAAATTGTCTCACAGTATCATCAAGCACCTTTTGGTATAACAAAGTATTCCTAGTGAAATCTATAGTGGTGAGCTGCCCAGGGTGATGCAGCAAAGCAGCCTGAAATCATAATATTTCCACCATTATGCTTTACAATTGGTAAGGTTCTTTTGGTAAAATGCTGACTTGATTTTCACCAAACAAGTCTTCTGGTACTATTGACAAATTATCTTTGCATTGCCTGTTCAGGGCATCTTGTCTAGGTATTCATGAGCAAGACTTACTCTTGCCCTGATGTTCTTTCTGGACAGTAAAGATTTAAAACATGTTCTAGTTTATGTAGCTTGTTTCTGATGAGAGGCTCATGCACTTTGACTTTAATAGTGGCAAGAGCTATCTGTAGGTCATGTGATGAAATTCTTCTTAGACACTTCTTTCAGTATCTTGTATACTGATGAACTTGGTTTGAACTTTCTGTTATAGCCTGGCCTGGGCAAGTTAGCAGTTGTTTGAGAACTTCTCTACTTGTAAACGACCCTCTGGACAGTGTAATGATTGCTGTCCAATTGTTTTGGAGTTTTTTTTAAAAAAAAAACATTTCCAGGCTTGCAGGCATCTATAATCTTATTTCCAAGGCCTCAAAGAGCTCTTTAAATATAGACATAATGATACCACACACTTCAACAACTAACAGGAAATCAAACAAAATGCTGAGGTTTAAATAAGACAGGTTATTCCCCTAACAATGAACCTGATCTGGTACACCTAATTCTAATGTAAGATGTTTGAGATTATGTACTTATTTCTTCCATGTACGAAATCTTCATTTATGTTTGTTTAGATTACACAATAGATTACAAAATGTGAATGATGCATATCTGTTCTATCATATCCTCTTTATCTTGTTGAAATGAAGATCCAATTTCTGTATGTTGAATATGTTGAAAAAGACAAAGATTCCAATGGAGTATACTTTTTCATATGACTACATATCTTCAATGCTTTTCAGAAAAACCATATTCCAGTAACTAAGCATATAAACATCTAACACGCTACATCATAGAATTACAATTAAATATTTAATTTGTAATCTTTATGACTCAAATAAATATATTTTATTCTACTTTTACTATAGATCAAGATGAAATATCTGGTTAAACTAGGTGGCCATTTCTATCTCCTCTGACAGCTATAAAATTTTGCACAGGTACTTCTACATATCTCTCATATATGAGATTAACTACTGTCAAGGCTACATACAGAAATAAAGGGGACACTTTTGCTCATTTGTGCATGCATGGAGTATAAAAAAGACAACTTTAAATTTGTCTTCACTGTCCATCTGGGAAACTTGCAACTGATTTTTTTTATTATAGGCCACTGACAATGTATAGCTAAATTAAATAGGTGAAAGAATTTATTGATGTATTTAGTGTGCTCAAAACATCAAAATGGCTATTTTGAGATTGAAACATATTCTATTTTTCTAGGCAAATATCACACTTGACATAATCCTGTCAAACTGATCACATTCATTCTCCTAAATTATTCTTCCTTATTCTTTTATCAAATATAATTAAAGGGAGAAAGGTAGGATGCATTTATACTTTTTCTCTTGTATACACACAAAGAAATCCAGGTACTGGTCCTATACCTCCGGCCTTGTATATATATATATATGTGTGTGTGTGTGTGTGTGTGTGTGTGTGTGTGTGTGTGTGTATCTTTGATTATTCTAAATACTTGAACCCCAGGTGTAAACATTTTTAAATTCAATAAAATTAGTGCACTCCGGAATATAAAATAGCCTTTTATTATGAGCTTTCATCAATTTACTGTTGACATCATCAGAGTAATTCTGAAGATTGGGAGAGCTTATATACACGCTTGTGTGACTGTTTTAATGGTCAGGTCATAGAACATATGGTCAGCACGCCCGCCACCTGTTTGCCAGCATTTAGCCTCACTAGTTCTGGTTTTGATGTAAAAACTGGTCCCAGACTTAGATTTGAAAGATCCCTCTTCACAGCTGTTCGGTGCGTCAATCTTGCTGTCCGCAGCCATACATCAGTTGTTAGTGTCCTCGTGAGATGTGTAATCTGCCTGGTCGTGTTCACTCTCTCGCGCCCAGCTGCCGTAAGTCCGGCTCTGCTGCATGAACAAGTTGATGTCCTCTTGGGATGTGTGAACAGTTCACCCGCCCTCGCTCTCCCTCACCTGGTTGCCGTAAAACCAGCTCTGCCGCATGAGCTAGTCCTCGCTAGTCCAACGTTCTTTCACCTTCCCGCTGCTGTGCGTGTCCGTCTCGTAGTGCACAATCAGTAATAAAAGGCTATTTTATATCCCGGAGTTCACTAATTTTATTGAATTTAAAAATATGTATGTATATACATATATACATGTATATGTATGTATATATATATATGTATGTAGGTCTTTGGTTGTTCGGGTTTTCTCCCGCGTAAAATTGGAAGTGTCTTGGCGACGTTTCGACGAAGTCCCATTCGTCATCTTCAGGCTGGTGTTTTCAGCTTCGTCGAAACATCGCCAAGACACTTCCAATTTTACGCGGAAGAAAACCCGAACAACCAAAGACCTACATACAAACACCCGCGAAAACCTCAGAAAACAAATATATATGTATGTATGTATGTGTATATATGTGTGTGTGTATGTGTATATGTGTATATATATTTATATGTATATTTATATATATATGTATATTTAAATACAGACTACTGTATGTGGGAGAAGGCAATGGTAAACTAATCCTGAATTTTCACTAAGAAAATTTTATGGAGAATAAATATAAAACGATTAATGGTCTAGTGGTGGATGATGGGCCCCTCAGGTTGAATTGCACTCAACATTCTACTGAGGAAGAGCTTTCACAGGATTAATGGTGTTTATCACTTGGCTATATTAAAGCCTATGGCAGGTCTAGTTGTGGATATTTCCATAAAAAAAGAAAGAAAATTTCAAACTACAAAGACAGAATTACTTTGGGAACATAGAATATAAAAAGCATGAACACAGAAAAGGCCAATACAGTGAAAGATGAAATGAAACCAATGCAAATAGATATAGCAGACAACAACAAATTAGTTGGACTGGATTGGACATTTTCATTCAGAAGATCACAGTGTTTGCTACTCAGAACATGAGAAACAAAGAAAAGGTGTTGTTTTTATAATGCAAAAGGATACAGCAAGAATGTTTGGCTGAAAATAATAACAGTTACACTTCATGGTCAGCTCATCAATGTAATAATATCCAAATTTAATCTCCAACCATTGATGCATGTGAAGAGGAGGTGGATGAGCATTATCATTAAATTCAATCTGAAAGTGACATAATATGAAAGCCTAGTATGCTACTTGTGATTAAAGACAGGAATGCCAAAGTTGCAATTAAGGAGGAAAATATAGTTTGACTGAATGGCTTAGGAAACCAATATGTAGTCAAAATATGACTTAGCAAATTATTCCATTCCAATTA